TAAAGTGAAGAGGTGTCACTTTGTAAAAATATATATTTTATTGATTTTTTACAGAGAGGAAGGGAGAGGGATAGAGAGGTAGAAACATCGATCAGCTGCCTCCTGCCCAGCCCCCCCCCTCCCCCCCCCCCCCCCCCCCCCCCCCCGGGATGTGCCTTCAACCAACGTACACGCCCTTGACCGGAATCGAACCCGGGATCCTTCAGTCCGCAGGCCGAGGCGCTATCCACCGAGCCAAACCAGTTAGGGCCCTGGCTTTCTTTCTTAATAAATTACAGGGACGGAGTTGGGGCGGGGGTCACAGGGTAGCGCTTAACTTCGGGCTCAGTGTTCCTGGATCCTCACCCCTCTCCGTGCTTGCAATGTATGCTCTGTGCACCATTCGCACAGTGGGAGCGGTCTTCTAGGAGGAGCCTTGGGAAGGCCATGTGTTGTTGCGCCCGCCGGATGGCGGAGCCCAGCTGGAGCTCCCTACAGACCTCAGATTCTGGTGGGCGGATCCAGAGACGGACTTGTCTTGTGTCTGCCCCGGACAAGCCTTGGAAGTTCTCTTCTTGCTCATTAAACCTGCCCCCTAACCACTCTGCTGTGCACCTGAAACGGATACAAAGTATAGGAGTGTAAACGGTAATTGAAAAACAAAATTAGAAAACAAAACCCTGCTACCTGCTAATCTGGCGTGGGCTCCCTCTCCCTTCACCCTCTGTGCACGGGGCAGCAGTTTCAGAGTCCACCCGGGACCACACATTGGCAAGCCACCTAGGAGACGGGAGAGATGGGCCTTGGGGAAGAGGCATCTGCTGGGGGAACGCAGGTTGGACATCGACCTCCGCAAGGGGAAGGGTGGTCTATACACTAGATCAGTGGTTCTCAACCTTGGTTGCACATTAGAATCACCTGGGAATCTTTTTAAAATCCTGATTTCTGGGCCTCTCCCTGAAGTATGGTAGCAATCATTTCAGGTAGAAACTATAGTTTAACTCTAACCCTGCTGTTTGGCTTCTGTACTTATTTGCTTTGTTTAACAATAGAAAAGTTATTTTGAGGGTGGGGTGGGAACTGGGTGGAGGAGAGCTATGGGGGGGAAAAAAGAGGAACAACTGTAATAATCTGAACAATAAAGATTTAATTTAAAAAAATCCAAAAAAAAGAAAAGTTATTTTGATTTTCTGAATTATATGAATCACCCCATTCAACTGAATACCCTATTGCCCTAGCCGGTTTGGCTCAGTGGATAGAGCGTCGGCCTGCAGACTGAAAGGTCCCAGGTTCGAGTCCGGTCAAGGGCATGTACCTTGGTTGTGGGCACATCCCCAGTAGGGGGTGTGCAGGAGGCAGCTGATCGATGTTTCTCTCTCATCGATGTTTCTAACTCTCTATCCCTCTCCCTTCCTCTCTGTAAAAAATCAATAAAATATATATTTAAAAAAGAATACCCTATTGATTGTAATGTGAAATCCCATTGGTAGTGGTCATACTGGTCTTAGAAAGCACATTTTCCTTTACCTGGGAAGGACAGCACAGTTATCCCAAGGTCAGAGGGCTCCAGTTAACGTGTCCCTGTTGACTCAGTGTTCTGGAGACCCAAAAACTGGAATCTAGATAACATGCTTAAGTCTGACCAGGTTCTTCATTCCAGACCCGAGGGCTCTAGATAATGTGTTTCTGTCGATTCAGTGACCCAGAGACCCAAAACTGTAATTTAGATAACATGCTGCTTCTGCTTCTGTGAACTGCTTTTTTGCAAACCAGGTTCCTCATTCCAAACCTTGAGATATAATCAATACCTTTGTGATCTTTGCCTATATAAGTCTGGCTTTGCCACCATCTTATCACTATGAGATTTGGGAAAGCAAAATGGCCCTCATAGTCCCGGATTGCAATAAATGTGACTCTTTAATTCAACTTCTTGAGGCGTCCTTCTGTGATTCTCGGGGTACATTACAACAATCCTCTGGAAATTCTGTTTCTTTGTTACTAATGTTGTGGCCTCACCCCATAACAAAGAAACAATTTCTGGAGGATGAGGCCCAGAAATCAGGATCTTAAAAAGATTCCCAGGTGATTCTAATGTGCAGCCAAGGTTGAGAACCACTGCGGTAGATGCTTGTGGGCCATCACGTGACGCTCCCAACGCCAGCAGGTCTAATGTGCTTGTTGGAGGAGCTGTGCGTCGTGCCCTGCAGCAAAGGAGGGAGCCCAATAGCTGCTGCCGTGGGCTGGCCTCCACCGTGGGCACCTTGGCCACCAATGCCCAACCGGAGGCTGGAGCTTGAATTAGGAAGTAGGAAGAAGAGCTGAGGTTAGAAAGGACATGCAGTGGTTCACAGCTCTGCTCGCGTCGGCTGGTAGACAGGTGGGAGTGTTATGGGTTAGCTCAGCGAGATAGACCACCGACTCAGAATTTAAATTTAAGAGCCTTTATTAAGCTGGCCAGCTGACCACAGCGCGTACCTTCCCCTCCGGAAGCCTCAGATGGTGTTTTGAGTGGAGACATGAAATGATTAGACTTTCTTTTTTAAAGTCTGGCTGCAATGGGGAAACGTCGCTGTTGGCAGGCAAGGGTGGGATCGGGGAAACCAGTTAGGAAGCGATTGCAAAATCCAGAAGAGATGATAGTACATGGACTAAGGTAATTTCCAAATATGTCTTAAAGAGTGAAGGTAGAGCTGTCAGTGTTTTCTGGATTGGTTGAGGGATGAGAGAGAGAGACAGGGAGAGAGAGAGAGAGAGAGAGGCTGGAGTCAAGGAGTATCTAAGGTTTTTGGACTGAGAAACGGAAGCATGGAATGGGCATATATGGAAGTAAGGGAGACTGGGAGGGCTGGAAATCAGAAATGGGGCTTTGCAACACATTAAGTTTATTAGGCACCAAGATGTTGAGCAGACAGTTGGAGATACATAAGCCTGGAGTTTTGGGGGACAATGGAGTTGGAGATATGTGGAATTTTTTGTTTAGGGGGATGATCAGCGTGTAAATGGTATTTGAAGTCATGGGACTGTTACTGAATCACCTCCCCAAAATTCAGGTTCATGTACCTTCAATCTTTTTAAAAATATATATATTCTTATTGATTTCAGAAAGGAAGGAAGAGATAGAAACATCAATGATGAGAATCATTGATCGGTTGCCTCATGCACGTTCCCTACTGGGTATGGAGCCTGTAACCCGGGCATGTGCCCTTGACTGGAATCGAACCTGGGACCCTACAGTCCACAGGCCGACACTCTATCCACCAAGCCAAACCAACAAGGGCCATGTACCTCAATCTTTAAGGCATATTTGGAAATTACCTTAGTCCATGCACTAGTAGGCCAAAACATTGAGACTTCGGTGCGTGGAGACAGAGGAAGGTTTATTTGATTTGACAAAATTGAGAGGATTGGAGAACAGGATCTCTCAAATCCACTTCTCCCCAAAAGCAAAAAGTAGGGAGTTTTTATGTGGCTAGGGAGTAATGGAGGGGGAGTTTCAGGGAACTGAGAGAAGCCTGTGTTTCTTTAGTCACAGATAACTTTTTCCTGTATCAGACTCCTGGGTACCAGCAGCTGGTTATAGCTACCTTGAAGATATTCTTTCCTTCTGCAAAACAAACTCATAAATTATCTTCCTGCCTCTGAAGTGATCTCCTCCTGCATGGCAAAGAGATACCACATCAGCAACTTATTACTACATTCCTGAGAACTAAAGGGGTTGACCAAGAAGAATGGTTAACATTTGAACAAAGACCTAATTAAGAATTAAATTATTCAAGTCTAGCCACCAAAAATACTACGAGCATTGAAAGGGGCTCAGTTACAGGACTTCTTAGGATTATTAAGCGTATGGATATATGGGTGAGAGTGGTCCCCTTCAGTCTGTCTCATCATCCCGTCCCCGCACAGTAACCTCGTGAGCACCTGCACATACACACACACTCACACACCCGGGCAAAGAGAACAGGCCCCACGCCTCAGAGCTGCGTGCCACCTTGGCCCTGACCCTTTCCTGTGGCCTCCCTGGATGCTGCCGGGACAGCAGACCCATTTGGGCCAGCAGGGCAGGGAGAGGGATAGGGACGGGGTGGCTGAGGCCCCTTCTGGAACCTTCTCCCAGGAGCAGAAGCAGCAGGCAGTCCAGAGGCGCAGAGCAGATCATTACCTGGAGGTAGGGGCAGGTCAGGATGCAGCGCCTCCTTCCCCCAAAGTCCCCTACAAAGCTCCCAGAACCCTGGTAGGTGGCAGGGTCCCCCCTATTCCCTCTTCCAGGCTCTGCAGCCAAGCCCCCTCCTGGTCTGTCCCCCACTCCCATCCCCTCCAGGGCACCCTGCCCCTTTCCTCTGCCTGCAACCTCCTCACCTAGTTTCTGTCTGTTCACCCTCCTCCAGCACCCAACCTGGAGGAAGTGGCTCCTGCCGCCCTAGCTTCTGCCGCTGGCTTCAGGAAGGAGGACAGACCACTGGGCAGAACAGCCAGGTCTGGAGCCTCAGCTAAACCTCCCCGTGAGAGGCAGGGCCTGGCTGGAGGGGCCGCTCCTGCTGAGTTTCGCTGAGGGCAGGGGGCACGGGGAGGGTGAGTAGGGCTGTCTCCTTTTAATTCATTTGGCCTTGTTTCTCTACACATCTGGTTTCCGCATGGGAATACAAGTCCCAGACCTGCTATGAAGACCTCTATACCAGCACTTTCAGGCATGATCTCAATTAATTCTTACTATGACCCATGACATAGGAATCATACCCATTTTACAGATAAGAAAACAGACTCAGAGAAGGTAAAACATTTGCCTGAGGTACCATGACTAGTGGGGGCCAAGCTGCCTAACTCCTACTGCTGCAGATGAGAGCCGCGGACTTGAGGCGCGACCCTGGCCAGCGCTTTCCTCATTCTGGGAGGTTTCCAGGTTGGGGTAACCCGGGCTCACAACACGCCTGCGGCACCAGCCGGCGCAGTGCTGTCCCCCTCCACTCCCCAGAACCCCACCTCCCTGGGCTCGCAAAGGAGAGAGAGGGAGACCGTGGGGACCAGGCCTTTATTTCGGGGCAGCTGGAGACGCGCCGAACTCAGGGCCGCCTAGTTCTCCGGCTCCAGCCTCCGCCTGAGCACCTTCCGGACCCTCGGCGGGCTTGTCGCCGAACACTGCGCGGTGCATGGCGGCCACATAGCTGCAGCCGCTGGGGTCGGCGAGGCGCAGCCGCATCAGGGGCAGGATGCGCTCGGAGGCGAAGTAGCGCAGGGCTGGCTGCGGGGCGCGCAGCGCGGCGAGGAAGACCTGCGGGGTGCGGAGAGGAAGCTGGGGCTGGGGGCGAGGACTCGAGTGCCGCCCGCTCCCGGAGCCCGGCCTGGCACCCACCTCTGTCACCTCCTCTGGGTCCTGCGCCGCTTCGCGGAAGACCTGCTCGAAGTGGCGCTGGTATTGGGAGAAAAGCTCTCGGGTTTGGGCATCTGCGCTGTCCAGCGCCGCGTCGAGGCCGTCCTGGACTTTCCCCTGGAAGGCGGTGCGCACCGGGCCGCACTCGATGAGGCTCACACTGCGACCCGAGAGCGGCAAGTGGGCTGGGAGCCCGTGAGAACAGAGCCCAACCTGGCCCCCAGCCCCAGCCCCCAGTCCCCGCGCACCGCCAGGAGGGAGGGTAGGAGGGTCTGCGCACTGGCAGGTGATCGGCGCATAAAGCTAACCAGAGCGCTTGCAAGCGGCTCACTGCCCGAAAAGTGCTCCCACTTCCACCTGAGGGTCTGAGAGCGACTCTGGCGTCAGAATTCCAACCTGGCTGGGATGCATCAGAATTTGAACTTGGCTGGGTCACGTGCTGTGTGACCTTGGGGCAGTCAGCTAATCTCTCTGGGCCTAAGCTTCCCAGTAATAACAGACACCTCACCAGGTAGGTCACCCGCATGGGCCCAGTACAGTGCCTGGCACACACAGATATGGGCCGCAGTAGGGAAGGGCAGGGAGAACGCCTGCCTGGGCGTAGCTCCACCAGACGGGGTATGGGAGTTCCCAAAGTCAGGGTCAGAGGGTTCCATGGGTGGGCGGGGACTCACTGGATCCCGAAGGGGGGCAGTAGCACCGCCAGACTCTCGCATAAACCTTCGATGGCGAACTTGCTGGCACAGTAAACAGCGTTGAAGGGCAGCCCTTTGAGGGGAGATGAGGCTGCTGAAGACTCAGATGGGAGCGCGTCCCGGGAAAGCCCGCTGGGGCGCCTGGTGCCCGGCCCAGCCCCCCTCCACTCACCCCACTCACCCATCAGGCCTCCCATGCTCCCAGTCACCAATATGCGTCCTGAGCGGCGGCGCTTCATGTCCGGCAGGAAGGCCTGAAGCATCTGCACCATCCCGACCAAGTTCACGTCCAGCACAGAGCCCACGGCCTCCGCCGAGTGCACCTCGATGGGCCCGTGCAGGCCCCGGCCCGCGTTGCACACTGTGGGGAGAGGTTCGACCCCTTGTGCCTCCTGCACTGCCCTCCGTCCCGGCCGGTCCCGTGTTCCCTGAGCCTCAGGACACCTTGGTTTGGACACGGGACAGGGAAGGCTCCTGTATATTTTGGGGAGGCTCACCCAGCACGTCCACGCGGCCCTCAGTCACACGTGCCCTGGCAGCAGCCACGGAATCTGCATCCTGCACGTCCAGCTGCAACGTCTTCAGGGAGCCGGGCGGGCACCCTTGGGACCCGGCGGCCTCCCACAGCGGGCCCTGCGCGCTCAGGTCCCGTAAAGTGGCATACACTGGCGGTTGGGGACAAGACGAGGACCTGACGTCCTGCTTAACTTACCGAGGTGCCCTGGGACCAGGGCTGCTCCCGTCCCAACCCCCGCAGATACCTTTGAAGCTCCGGGAAGGGTCTGCCGCCAGACGCAGGGCCAGGTGCAGGCCGATGCCCGAGGAGCAGCCGGTGATGAGCACCACTGTGCGGTCCATGGGGAGAGCGTGTGGGAGAGGCTCTGGTCTCGGGACTAGATATCACCTACTTCGCCCCGCCCCTGCCCCCAGGGATCCTCACCCCTTGTTGTGTCTGCAGCACCACCTCAAGGCTGAACCTCCAGAGGTCCCTGGCCTGCTCTCCCCACTCTGCTCTAGGTCAAGGAGAGATGAGGCCCTGCTTGGAAGGACCTGCTTTAGTTGCTGGTCAGAGGGCGGGCGAAGCTTTGCAAGCAGGAAGTGTGGGTTCCCCGTGGCACCGAGTGCCCTGCGCAGATCTTTCCCTGGGCATGCCTCTGCCCCACGGGGACAGTGATAGTTTCCAAAGTTTGCTGCTGAGGGTATGAGAGCCAATGTTTGGGCAGGCATTCTCAGTTCAAAGGTCAGGGGTTAGTTTTAGCAATGGGGAGACAAAAGCAAGGGGACAGGGGGAACGGGCCTCACACCGGTGTCCATGCTATAACTCCCAGTCCTCCCAGGCACAGTAGCAGTGACATTCAGACAGACAGGCCCAGGTGATTCACCAGTTTATTAAGTTGTATTAAAACAGTACTTTGGTCCCGAATTTGGGGTGGTGGAGGGCAGCTCACTTCCCCCCAAATCCCCTAACCTCGATCCGACCGGCAGGTCTTGAGTCCCTTCGCCCAGGATTGGGGACCTCCAGTGATGCTTGCCCAGCTCCAGACCCCCGGAACCTGCCCAGGCTTGGAATGTGGGGAGAACATGGCCCAGGGGTGGTTAATCTGTCACAAGGAGCCAGCCACCCACCGGGGGTAATATTTGAGGAAGAGCTTCTTGGCCAGGTCCACAGTGTCGCCTTGGGGGTGGCTGGGATACCTCCGTGTGCTGAGGGCAAAGGTCTGCCCCAGCTGGAGGGCATGCGTCTCAAACTGGTGCTGCTGGAAGGGGATGCCTCGGACCAGGCTTTCGACCAGCGTCTCCAGGAAGAGTCGCCAGCGGGGGGTGTAGTAGTCGGCCACCAGTCCTGCCAGCTGCTTGTTGGCGTAGTCTAGAATGTTGCCCTCTGGCCCCCAAAGGGTTAGCTGGTAGCGGCTGTTCTGTTCATAGAAATGAGCCTCGGCCTCACTGACCGCGGCTGCCCGGGCCTGCGCCAGCCAGCTGCCCAGCAGGAAGTGGCTATCGCTAGCCAGTATGTTGTCCAGGGAGGGCAGAAGCTCGTAGGCCAGGATGCCTGCCGCCCTCAGCAGGGGGACCAGCTCCTTGTTCAGGTAGGCGGTCCTCACCTCCTCATAGTACAAGCTGACCAGCTCCTGGACTGCCTGGCGAGTGAGGTCCACCAGGTCGTAGCGGAAGGATGGGCTGGTGGCCAGGGTGGGGGTGGCTGTCAGCAGCAGCCGCCAGGCCTCAAACACATCCGATCGGTTGTACCAGACAGTGGTTACCATCTGTAGGGATGGCCGCTTGACCAGCGGGCTGCGATTGTGGCCATTGCAGGCCTCGCCGGAGCAGTTGTAGACACTCCTGAGAAGCAGCCTCCACGCTGCCTCTGTGCCTTCGTGGGAGACCCCATACCGCCGGGCTGCAAAGCTGGTCACCCAGGCCCCCAGATCTGCCACTGGGCCCTTGCGCCAGCCCAGCTCAGCCATGAGGGCATAGACCACTTCGTTCTGGCCAATGCCTTCAGGGGCCATGCCCGTGCCTACCATGGTGGAGTTGGGGAAGAGGCGGGCGGCTGCGGGGCCTCGGTTCACGGCCTCCAGGGCCCCAAACAGGCCGTGGTTGCCCCCAAAGTTATGTAGCATGCACCAGATGAAGGGCTGGCCCTGGAAGGAGGCTGTGCGGACGTACACGGGCTGGCTCTCAGCAAACAGGTCCAGAACGAGGAGGCGGCCGCGGGGCACTGCCCTGAGCACGGCCTCCACCTGGGGTGGACCCCAGAACTGGGGCTGGTGCTGGAAGAGCCAGCCTTGGAGGAGCCATATGGCATCAGGGTCCACTGTGGTGGGGGTGGGGGACAGAGAAGAGAGGTGATGAGAAGGGAGGGGGTCAAAGGACCATTCTCCCCCATTCCACAGAGAGGAAACAGGCCCAGAGAAGTTAGCCGACTCTATCACAGAACACTTCCTTCCCCGGACCCCCAGCCAACAGGGCTACTTCATCCCACACACCCTTTCCATTCCCTCCTTCCCCATGGGAATTACCCAGAGGCTGGTTCACACACATATTCATGGGCACCAGCCCTGGTCTTTCTGACTCAGGAGGTGGGGGAGGGGAGGGAAGCGGGGGAGGAAGGATCTGCAGACCTGACAGGCTCTGGGCTGAATCAGACTTGGAGCAGCGCTGCTCACGGAACCCTGAGCCCATCAGTTCCCTTCCTGCTGACACAGAGGCCTCCCCACCACCATTCCTGACCTGGCTCCTCTCCCCTCTCCCCTGTAAGTGGGAGGAAGGAGTACTAGGTTCACATTTGTGCACCAGGAAGGGCACCTACCAGCTTTGGGCACATTCCCTAACCTCTGGCCATTGTTAAGTACCTCAGCATAGACGTAGGGACCAAATAAAATACGGGGTGGGCAAAAGTAGGTGTACAGTTGTAACAAATACTACAATAATAAATAAATAATACAAGAACAAGCTGTGTTTCATGTACTCACATCTGTAGACCTACTTTTGCCCACCCGTCTTTTTAATACCCAGCACTTAATGACACTTTCCTCTGGGCCAGGCATCATCTTACTTAGCGGGAGCCCCATTTTACAGATGAAGCCACTGAGGCCCTGGGAGGGAGGTAACTTATTGCAAGTCACACAGGCAGGAAGTGGCAGTGCCAGAGTGTGCGCAGGCTGTCTGCCTCCAGAGCTCACCTCTCACCAGTGGGACTCCATGAGATGATGTGTGTGTACAAGTGCTTGGTAAAGTGTCAAGCGCTATGTGTCACAGTCAGGTGTTATGATGCCCAGTCCCTCCTCCCCTTCCCCGCCTCCCTGGCACCAAACCTGCGACCATGGCCTGGTAGACTGCGGCAGTGGCTGCGGCGAGGTAGGAGGGCTCTGAGGATGGGGGCTGCATCTCATTGAACGTGTCGGCCCCGTAGATGTGATCTGTGCCAAACTCCTTGGTCAGCTCCCGCAGGAAGAGGCTCCCCACGACAGGGAACAGGGGGTCTTCGGGAGCCAGAAGGAAGGAGCAGGAGTAGGAGCAGTTGAAGTGTCCCCAGCTGCCCATCTGGGTGACATTGACCTGGGGGAACACCCTAGTTGGGGGTGGGAACAGTCCAGACATTTAGTGGAGGCTGACACAGTCATTGCCAGTTTCGTTAACTTATCTGCAACTCCTGGACCTCATCCTGGTCTCTCACGCCTCCGTGCCTTTGCACATACTGTGCCCTGTGCCTGGAGTCCTTTCCTCCTCTCTCCCTGCTCATCCAGCTGGTTACTCCTTGACATCCTGTAAGTTTCACCCAGCTTGGAAAACTCCTGCTATCTCCCCTCCCACTGGTTGAAACAAACAACACTCACTTTTCAAGGTCTGGCCCAGTACTGCCTCTCTCCGAGTCCCTGCGGCTCCTCTTACCCAGGCAGAAGTGACCTTGACGGAGAAGTGGGCCCTGTCACTGCATTATAACCCCCTGCCAACCTATCTCCCACCAGGGACAGGAACTCTGTGCACTGTTGTCGCTGCCTCCCAAGGCTCAGCAGAGCCTGGCCTGGCAGTCCCAGACCCCCGACAAGCGTTCACTGAATGTGCGCATGAGGCTCCTGCCACCCGGCTAGAGAGACGAGGGGGCGGCCAGCGGGGCCAGCAGCATGCAGGAAGTATGTGAATGGTGGAAACCAGGGGCTCACGGGGCTGAAGGAGGTGGCGACCAGTGCTGGGAGCCCAGCAAGGCTTCCTGAAGGAGGGGAGGTCTCAGTTGGCCTTGAAGGATTTTCCCAGCCCCAGGAGAGGATGGGTGGGTGGGTACCACAGAGGAGCGGGGAGGACAGAGACCAGTGCATCGCTACTGCCACACACAAGAGCTGCCTTTGGCTAAGTCTTGGTGCCAAGCCATGTATATTCTGTAAGTGAGGCAACTGAGGCACAGAGCAGTCACATAACCTGCCTGAAGTCACATGGCTAGTGGAGAGCAGAGCCAGGAATCAAGCCAGGGCCTACAGCTCTTTAAAAATCATGTCTTTCAGGGGAAAATAAATTCCATCTATGAGTTGAGTGGGAGGTGAGGGCAGGGGAGCCTCACCTGGTTATAGCCTTGGGGACATGCCCTGCGAATGCAGGCAGCACAGGAATCATGCCGAAGGAGCGCATCCGGTCCAGGATCCGATGCTGGGAAGAATGGGAGGGGGAGCTGGTGAGCATGGCCCAAGATGGGAGGCCCTCGCTCCCCCAGGGCACACAGAGTCCCCGGGGTCTAATTAGGAGCCTTGAGACTGGCCAAATACCACCCTCCCTAGCCTGTGACTGTCCAGGACCAATTCTATCCTTCCCTTCCCCTTTATTTTACCTGCAGGTAAAGCTGCTTGAGGTGCCAGGCGTGGGGCAGGGGGCCACCCCAGGTGTGCAGGTTGCCCATGCGTTCCCAGGCCAGGAAGGCAGGGCCAGTGAAGTACTCATCAATCTCTGACTGGGTCAGGCCCAAGGCCAGGTACACCTGAGGAGGAAGGCAACCCCCGCACATCAGCACATTCATCTCCTTTCCCCGACTCACTGACATTCACTCATCTCCTCTCTGTGCTGTGCCCTACGGTTACTAAGACAAAATGCAACCTCCGCCTGCAAGGAGCCCGCAGTCCAGGAGGAACAGATGCGTGAACAGGTGAGTTTATAATGTCACCCTTGCAGCACAGGTGAGGTGAGGCACAAGGGGGCTCTCCCCAAACAAGGAAGGGGCCTTAGAAGGCTTCAGGGAGCAAGGCTGGCTAGAGATCAGCTCTGCGGGGAGCTCAAGTAGCCGCAGGTGCAGCCAGCCCTCAGGGCCCAGGGACGCAGCTCCCAGGCCCACGAAGGCTGGAGGCAATGCTGAGCTCCTGAGTGTGTTAGTGGGAGGGCTTGCCCAGATCTGCATTTCCGAAAGGAGTCCTGCTCACAGGCTCTCGAGGGGGTGCAGGGAGAGGGCGTGAGAGCCTGAATCAGGGCCATGCATGGCTAAGGATGGAGAGAATAAGTGAGGTCAAAGACTGCTGTTGACAAAGCCTCTAGCAGCAGACTGACTGGACTTCTTAAGCCTGTACGGTGGGGCCCTGGGGCCCAGCTCTCAGTAAGCTCTCCTAGGGTTTGTCTCAGCCGTGGAAGCCCGTTTCTGGAGGGCTGGGGCCACTGTGCCCACCACAAACACTCTGGAGCCCTTATTCTCTGTGTGCCAGACACTGTGCTGATGTGGGTGGGGGACAGGGACACCTGCAGTGGCCCATGTGGGGGGCACGTACCCGCTGCCAGATGGCCTCCTGGCCGCTCCAGGCCAGTGCCAAGTTGATGCCGTTCAGTGCCATCCAGTCAATCTCCTGTTCCCAGCGGGCCCAGTCCCACCACACGAAGGAGTAGCTGTGGGTGCACACGTTCTGGTAATAGCGGTACCTGTGGGCAGGGGCATGAGCTGGGGTGTGTCCTTCAGCGCAAACAGGATGTCCCTCTCCCTGACATCCATCGTCCTGGAAGAGCTCAGATGTGGTCTCTCTACTGCTTCACGTGGGGATCCCCCCAGGCAGAGCTAAGAGGTAGGAATGCGAGGTGAGCCCAGCCGGTGGGGCTTGGTGGTTGAGCATCCACATATGAGCCAGGAGGTCGCAGTGTGATTCCCGGTCAGGGCACAGGCCCGGGGTGACCAATGATTCTTTCTCATCATTGATGTTTCTATCTCTCTCCCTTCCTCTCTGAAATCAGTAAAAATATGTTAAAAACATTAAAAAAAAAAAGAATGCAAGCTGATTCTTTCAAGAATGTACCTTTTACATCTAGGGCCATACATACCACCCTGAATGCTTCCGATCTGATTTGATCTCGGAAGAATGTACTTTTTACTCTAAGAACTCAGTTTTTTCTCCTTGGGAACACTCTGACTATTGCGTCGTTGTGTTTCCGGTTCTCAGACCCTTGAATAAATCCTTATCATGTCTTTCCAGCCAAAGCCTAGACTTTTTTTGTTAGTTGGACAAGGCAGATCTGAAGCCAGAGATGCGCGACCCAAGGGCTAGCGCTTCCGACCAGCGCCGCGCGGGCTGCGGGCAGGAGGCAGCTGCAGGGGGGCCGACGGGCGGTCCCGCCGGTACCTGTTGGGCGTGGCCTCGGTCAGCGCGTCGGGCACGGCGGGCAGCGGCTGCGGCAGGTGCAGCTGAGAGCCCGACCAGGCCACGTGGCAGCCGCAGAAGTCGCGCAGGTAGCGGTGCAGGCCGGCGGCGGCCGCCACGCCCGTGGAGCCGAGCACCCGCACTGGCGCCCCGCCGCCGCCGCTCAGGCGGTAGGTGTCCAGGCCGGACTCGGCCGCCAGGGCGCGCTGCACCGACACCGAGAAGGCGGCCGCCGGCCCGGGTCCCAGCAGTCGGGCCAGCAGCGCCCGCACGGCCTCCGCCTCTCGGGCCTCGTCCCCGGCCGAGGCCCCCGCCAGGAGCAGGAGCAGGAACGCCAGCGCCGCGGCCGCTGCCACCGCCTGCATGGTCCGCGCTCTCAACCCGGCCGCGGCCCCGCGGGAAACCTATTCGGGACTCGGGCCCAGGGGGCGGGGCGCCCCGGGCCCAATCCGCGGCGAGTCTTAGGTCACGTGGAAGCGAAAGCAAAACACCGCGGGCAGCCGGGAGAGCGGCTTCCGGGTCTGGACACCGCCCGAGGGTGTCTGCTGACCGCTCGTGGTGCCGGCGCGCGTGACCCCGGTAACCTCGGGAGCCTGGAGCCGGTGTGACCCGCGATCCTTCACGGGCGTCTTCAGCTCCGACGCGCTTTCACACGCGAATCGCTTTCCTCCCGTTCATCCAAACACCCAGTAAATATGCGGAGTTTGTTTCGTGCCGGGCACGCCACCCCTCTCCCGGGAGACCTAGAACCCATGGACAGCACTTACGGGAAGACTTACATTATGGCTGTGATGGTGTGAAGAAATGTAAGGGCGCCCAGCCTAAGGCTTCTTCCAAAAGGAAGTGATGTTTAATCCGAGTTCACTGGGATCGACTAGCAGAAGAGACAGGGGAAGCACCCCAGGCAGAGACAATGTGTAGATGAAGATCCCGAAGGATAATGGAAGAGCTGGGCAGATTTGAGGAATTAACAGAGCGTGCACAAAGCTGGAGGGGCAGTGGGCCATGGAGCGTGGACTGGCGGCGGGGCAGGGCCTGGTGGACATGCCGAGGTCCCTTCTGGGATCCGTAAGGAGTTATCTTCATTTTACATATTGGGGAACTGAGGGCCAGAGAAAGGAAATGACTCAGACAAGGCCAATAGCGGTAGGAGAGCAGGTCTGGGACTAGAACCGGAACTCCCGAGGCCAGCCTTCTTGCCGCTATTGCCCAACTGCCTCTACTTTTCAGGCTGCCTCTCTGGCAGGGAGGGGTTGAGTGGGGGCTTTGTGGTGGGCCCTTTAGAAAAACTGTTTCTAACAGGATTTTGAATCCTTTTGGAGACAGGTGTTGATTTTTCCAGAATGTCAGGCCTGAGGGAAGCCGTTTAGGGACAGGAAAGGGAGCAGAGGAGGATTGCCGATCCAGAGAATCTGGAGTCTGGACTGAAAAAGAACAAGGGAGTTCAGTGGGCTTGCTGGCTCCCCGGCCCCAGACACAGCTGCAGGCCCTGCCTTGCTCCTGGCTCTGAGCAGCTCTCTCAGGAGGTGCAGCCCCTGCTCACTCAGTTCCTGGTATGAAAAGGTTCAGCCTTTCTCAGGGAGCACTCCCAAGACCCGCCCAGAGAGATGTGCTCTCAGGGGGCTACAGCCTGCAACACCTCCGCCCAGGCCCTTCTCCACTCCTCTCCAGCATCCCTCACTCGCACCCCATTTTCCCTCTGAACACCCCTTTCTCCAGGTGAGCCTTGTCAGGTTCTCCTCCTGCCTGGACCTGCTTGACTGGCATTTCTGGATCTCAGGGAACACGTGGGTGGGGGAGTTTGGGGCTCTCTGTGGGGTCTGGATTCACCCAGAGTGGTGGTGTGGGGCAGTAGGTTGGGGACACCATCCAGGGGTTGGTAGTACATTTAAAGCCTGAGTTCGTCGATGCTGGGGAGGAGCTTCAGGGATGACTCCAAGCATGTCACACTCTTTTCTCATCTTCCCCGTCAGGCTGGGAGCTCTTTGACAACAGGAGGGGGCTGATTGAAGAAATTAAAGTATGAACTGTTAAGCATTTCCTGAAAAATGAGGAAGATGTGTTAATGATTTGGAATGTTCTGCAAATGGTCAAGCCAGTGGATATAGTACACTCGCATTTGTGTGGGTATTTTTTATTTATTTGTTGTTGTTAATCCTCACCTGAGGATATATTTTCCAATAATTTTTGTTTGTGTTTTTTTTAGAGACAGTGGAAGGGGGCGGGGAGATACAGAGAAACATCGATGTGGATATGAGAGACAGATTGGTTGCCTCCCACACGTCCCCGACTGGGGCCAAGGAACAAGCCTGAAACCGAGGTATATACCCTTAATCAGAATTGAACCCGCAACCCTTCAGTTTGTGGGCCAATGCTCTAACCACTGGAGCAACCTGCTAGGGTTGTGTGCATCTTTTTTTAAAGGCTATGAAAACAGTGGTTGCCTCCCATGGAGTACTAGGATGTTGGGGGTGGGAGGACTTTACTTTTTCAATTAATGTGTGTGAAACAAGTAGGCCTGGCTCTCCTCTCTCCATCTCATCATGTCCTCTTCTGTTCCTGGCCCCTCTGCCTGTGTGCCCCAGAATAGTGCCCAGCCAATACAGTTGCCTGTCACAGCCCAGCTAGGATCATGTTCACGCCAGTGAGGAGGAATGAGTCCTTCCCGGTCTGGCCACCAGGGAGCAGCCAATGCCTAAGACATGCCTTGGGTAGGCCAGGGAGCTGGGAAGGCAGCCAGTCTCTTGGATCTGAGGGGAGCTCCAATGCCCCTTCTGTCCAGGGCTCCTGGGACAGAAAGAGGCACAGTCCACCCAGGTCCCCAATGAATCCGACAGAGAGTGGGTCCTGAAGGTGGTGATGGAATTGTCCCATCTTTATAGCACTGAGCAGGCCCAAAGCCACCCTTTCCATGCTGGTTCTAGGACCGCAAGATGAGGGGCATTCACTGGACAGAGCACAGACTCACTCAGCAGATGTCTGGGGTCCAGGGATTCCACGAGAAGGGGATCTCCTATTTTAATCCTGCCCCCAAATGCATCTAGCCGCCAGTCCTAGACAATTACCCATCTGCTTTCTGTCTCTATAGATTTGCCTACTTCACAGAAATGGAATCATATTATGTGGTCTTGTGTCCTGTTTCTTAGCATCATGTTTCTGAGGTCCATTCATAGTGTTGCAAGTAGCAGTACTTTATTCCTTTTTATTGTAGATTAATACCTGTTATATGGATAGACTGCCTTTTGTTATCCAACAGATGGACATGTGGGTTGTTTCCATTGGGGGGCTACCATGAAAAATGCTACTCTGAACACTGTGTACAAGTCTGCGTGCACGTCTTTTCATTTTTCTTCAGTGGATACCTAGAAGTCAACTTGCTGGGTCTTATATTACTTCTGTTTAACGTTTTGAGGAACTGCCAGACTGCTTTCCATTTTACATTCCTACCAGCAGGGACTAGGAGTTCCAATTACTCCACATCCTTGCTGGCACCTGTCATTAACGTTTTTATAAACCTTTTTAGTGGATGTGAGGTGGTGTCTCCTCACGGTTTTGATTTGCATTTCTCTAATGACGAATTATGTTGAGCATCTTTTCATGGGCTTACTGGCCATTCAGCCTGGGGACATAGAGAGCTGACTGCATATTTACTGAAAAAAACAACAACAAAAAACCCCCAAGTATAAGTGGACCCCTGCAGTTCACACACATCATTCAAGGGCCAACTGTATGATTTGCAGATATTGTCCCCTGGTGTGAATGTCTTTATTTTTCCCTTTGGACCAAAACATTTTTTAATTTTCCTAAAGCCCAACTTATCTTCATCATTTGTTATTTTTGCTGTCATATCTAAAAATCATTGCCTAGCCCAAGGTCAGCATGAAGACTCGTGATTTCCTCTTAAGAGTTTTAGTTTTAACTCTTACATTTAGGTCCGTGATTCACGTTGAGTTAACTTTTGTACACAGTGTGGGGTCCTGGCCCAAATTTGTTTTTCACATGTGGATACCCAGTTGTACTAGGACTATTTGTTGAAAAGACTGTTCTTTCCCCGTTCTTTTGGATTTTCTTGGCCCCTTTGTTGAAAATCAATTGATGCCCTACCTGGTTAGGCTCAGTGGATAGAGGGCTGGCCTGCAGACTGAAGAGTCCCAGGTTTGATTCTGGTCAAGGGCAAGTGCCCAGGTTGCGGGCTCAATCCCCAGTATGGGGCGTGCAGGAGGCAGCTGATCAGTGATTCTCTCTCATCATTGATGTTTCTATCTTTCTCTCCCTATCCCTCCCTCTCTGAAATTTAAAAAAAAAAAAAAGTAAAAATTCTAAAAAAAAATAAAAAATCAATTGACCATAAATATTAAGGTTTATTTCTGGACTCTCAATTTCAATTCTATTTCATTGATTCCAAATATCTATTTTACTTATTTATAAAAAGTTATTTGTTGATTTTAGAGAGAGGAAGAGAGAGAAACATCAATTTGTTGTTCCATTTATTGATGCATTCATTGATTGATTCTTGTATGTGTCCTGATCTGGGACCGAACCCATAACCTTAGTGTATCAGGACGATGCTCTAACCAATTGAGCTACCCAGCCAGCACCCAAATATCTATTTCAGTTAGGCCTCCCTTTTTGAGTCAGTAACAGAGCAGAGGCTAAAAGAGCTCATTTACCTGAATTTCCACTCTGGACTTTCGGAGGAGACGGGTGGAGGTGCTGCACCCAGGGCCTATTCCAGGGCAGCTGGCCTGTTAGGGAGGAGAGGGTTTGAGGCTGGGGGGACAGGAACATGAAATGAACAGGGGTTTCCTGCCCCTCCCGGAGCCGCAGTTGTCAGCCTGCTGCTCGAATTCCTGCACAGCCCCTGCTCCGGAGGCCCCGGGAGGGAGGGCCCTGGGAAAGAATGTGGATGCCTTACATGGCAGTGAGGAGGGAGAGGTGCCCTCCCTGCCCACGCCGCCTGCCTGGACAGTCTGCAGGCTCTTCAGCCACCTGCCTACCTCAGCACCTCACATTCTCCAGCTGCCCCAAACCACATGCTGAGCCTCCATTTACACCAAGGCCAAGGGCAGCAGGGCTCAAAACAGCCAGGCTGCTGAGCCCCGAAGAGCACAATTGAAAAAGAGGGAGGGGGCAGATGCCCAGACCCCCACGAGCCTCTGCTGTTTGGGGGTGTAGTGTGTGAAGGGGAAGCGAAGCCGGGTTCCTAAGACCCCTCCCCATCATGGGTAGTGCCTGCAAAGCCGCCTTGGCTCATGCGAGGGGGAAGGTGCCTGTGAAACTTGAGATAAGGCGAGAATTTCAAACGTACTGCCTGGTCAGGGCCCCGGTAGCTGTGGCCTTTGATCAGAGAAGCAGAAAAGCTGGAGGCGGGCAGGGGAGAGGGTGCGGAGCAGGGGCTGTGGGTACAGAGACAGCCAGCCTCCCTCTGTAGACTCAAACACACTTTATTCAGCACAGGAATGTCTGAACAGAAGGGCCTTGGGCAGGGTTCCTTACACAGAGAACTCTACTTCAA